ATTGTAATTACCTATTTATATTTGCCTTGCATTTATTCACAGCAAAATAATGTAAAACTAAATGTGTGTGTGTGTGTATATATATATATATATATATATTGGGGGCAATGTGTTCTTCAGAGGGAAGGGGTTAAAGAAACGTCTTCATATATTTTGGCACATCACATGAAAAACTAAGGTGAACTACAAGGTAGTGGACATTCATGGTGAACATGATGGCTTCAATTTACTTATTAGATTATATATAGTTTCCATTGAAGGGGGTTTTGTTAGTCCCTTTTGAATTTGATTAATATTTATTTACATCTGTTCAAAACAAATACTGCAATGCTATAATAACTATCAAGAGTTTGTATTTTTGTAAGATCGCTCATATATTATTATTACGTTATACAATAATACATTATACATAAATAATCATGGAAATTAAGTCGTATTTCTTTCAATGAAAAATAACAACAAAATAAATAAATATCCTGGATTTGTGTACATCAAAAGTCGGAAGAACCACCAAATGGCCAAGTGTGACGTAGTTTTGACGTTTCCATGGCGCCAGCAGGACAAGCTGTGGTTGGACTAACGTTTATGTCAGAATAAAAAACGCTCCATATCGCAAACTATGTTTTGCTGTCGTTATGACGTCAATAATACTACCAGTTAACAATGAGGTATTGCTATATTAAAAGATATTACACCTTTACCGAGATCCTAACCCTAACCTTGTAGTGTAACTACACACTTCAATGAACTACAATTTACAGCGCCCGTCCCAGTGACACAACGATAGAGGCTCATGGGTAATATAGTTTTAAAACGTTTTGTTATGGAATTAAATAAATACAATCTTTAATGAACAAAAGTACATCTAAATATGTTAATTAAGCTAATCTCTTCGACATATTTGAGATTCAGACTAAAATGTTGTATTTTACTGTGAGCACTTTTTAAAATGATTTTGTAACACCTTTCCATGTATGCCAGACATCTCTGTTCAACATTATGTATTAAACATAACAAAAAATAATTGTCCTACCAATTTTCACTTCTATACGCTTATCAGACTTTGCATTTGCAGACTTTGCAGAGTGTTTTTTTTTTTTTTTTTTTAGGTTTTTTTTTTTTTTTTTTTTGCTTTTCCAGGGGTGCTACGGGACCCCTGAGGGAGGAAGGGCGGATAAAGCTACTCTCTTCATCATGGACAACAAACTGTATTGAGTCACATTTATATCTGCACATTATTTTTTTCCCCACCTTTTCTATATTTATATATGCTTGTGTTTGGTTTTTGATCTGCACTCGTAACACAAAAATACAGTAATATTTTACAAATGTTTTAAAATAGACTTTTCAGAATTGCTAAAACACTAACCCCGTTTACAGACAACAACTCAAAATTGTTCACTTATTTCTAATTGATGAGATCAAACCAATTGCACCAATTCATTATACAAGTCAGTTCAGAGTTCCAAAATTGATTTAAAATGTTGCACTGAATGTTGATACAAACAATGGATGGTAACAATATAAGAGGGAGAGTATGTGAAATAGGTGGTGAACAAAGAGGAAGAGGAGGAGGATGAGAAAGAGCAGAGTAAGGTGTGGAGAATGTTTTAAAGGCTGGATCTGCTTTAGCGATTTTCCTTTGCCTGAGATGACATTGTCTGTGATGTGGCCAAGGTCTTCCGGCCGGACCAACATGAAGACATGATGCTGAGGCAGAATCACTCTCTCACTGACCATGATTTTGCAATAATTCTTCTGAGTGTACATTTCTGTTTACACACGTTTTTCAAAACGTATAATAATACACTTTTGAATATACCATGTAAACACTGCTGTTCTAAATCTAAAGCTCTTTGGTCTTTCATAGGCTTATATCTACATTTCAATACAATGTTCTACAGTGAGAGTAATCTGCTGAGAGGGGTAACAAGTACACGTAAAACACCAATGCAATGTAGAAACAGAAATTATATATTAGGCCAAACATTACTATTGTATACATAGCATACAACAAAACTATAAACATGTACATAAGCAATGTTTGCACATGTGAAGGAGTGTGTGTAATGTTTGCACATGTGAGGAGTGTGTGTGTGACCTGGTGAATAACTAAGTGTAGCATTTTGATTGGTTGTGTCTTTGTGTTTTAGCTATCTTGTGTAGCTATCTTATTTTTAAGAGAATTGTGTGTAGTGTTTTTGAAAAAAAAAGTGTTTTATGCAATTGAAAACTGAGTCAAAAGCTGAGAAATAACGTATGGTTTGAAGATTTGGCATATAGTTAGTTTACTTTATTAGTTAGTTAGTTAGTTTACTTTATTGTCATTCAAACATGTTAGACATGAAGGAACGAAATTCGTTTCCCAGGTCCGGCAGCGTAATACAGAATAAATAACAATTCAATCCTCAGATAAACCCCAATAAAACGTATAAAATGGATTATATATATTACATTAAAATATCCTAACCATAAAAACAATCAAGAACTATAACCCATCTGACTATAATCATCATAAAAAGTGTCATGTGCAGTAGCAGCTATAGGCAAGCAGAGGGCAAGAGGAACCTAAACCGAGGAGTTCATAAGCCTCACTGCCTCTGGAAAGAAGCTGCACTTCAGTCTTGTGGTTCTTGCTCTAAGGCTACGCAGCCTTCTGCCAGAGGGGAGGATTGGTAAACAGTTTATGCGCTGGGTGAGTGGAGTCCTTCATAATGTCCGATGCCCTGCCTCTGCACCTGTTGACATAGATCTCATCTAGGGAAGGAAGGCTGTCATTTGTTGTTATTCTCCTAGCAGACTTAACTACTCGCTGCAGCGCCTTCTTGTCGGCTGCAGAGCAGTTTCCATATTAGGCCGTGATGGAAAATGACAGTGTGCTCTCCACCACACACCGGTAAAAACAGGTCAGAATAGCAGGGTTGAGACCGGTTTAACCTCCTTAAATAGTACAACCGTTGATGAGCTTTCTTAATAATGCTGGCTGTGTTGGTGTGCCATGTGAGGTCATTGGAAATGTACAGGCCCAGATATAAAGTTGGTCACCGTCTCTACAGCTTCTCCCTCAATATAGAGGGGGGGAGGTAGGATTTGACCTCTCTTCCTAAAGTCCACAACCATCTCTTTAGTCTTTCCCACGTTGATGCGGAGATTATTTTCTCTACACCAAACCACGAGTTCCTCCACCTCCTGCCTATACGCTGACTCGTCATTGTTGGATATTAGTCCAATCACCGCCGTGTCATCTGCAAACTTCACAATGTGATTGCTCAGACGTGTTGCAGAGCAATCATATGTAAGAAGCGTATACAACAAAGGACTCAGGACGCATCCTTGTGGGGAGCCTGTGATAAGGGTGGAGGATAAGGTGCTGTGGATCTTAACCGACTGTGGCCTGTTTGTCAAAAAGTCCAGGACCCAATTGCACAGAGATGGTCTAAGTCCCAGCAGTACCAGTTTGTTGATTAATGACTGTGGGATGATGGTGTTAAAGGCAGATGTAAAGTCTAGGAAAATCAGCCTGACATAAGAGTCCCTGTTCTCCAAGTGGGTAAGAGCAGAGTGGACGACAGTTGACACTGCGTCAGACACAGACCGGTTCCTTCTATAGGCATACTGATGGGGGTCCACAGTGATGTTAACAGTGTCTTTTATATGGGTCAGAACCAGTCGCTCGAAGCATTTCATGATCAGTGGGTTTTATAGTTTTATGGTTTTATAGTTTTATAGATCAGTGGGTCATATAGTTTTGCACTTTGAGTGAGAGGTTTCAAAAATCATGTGACATGAAAAGATTTTGTGTGTAGGCAGTTGGTAAAAACTGTAACATGCTTTTGATTTAGGCTTTTTTCACGGTAACCTTTTTGTCTTTTGCAGTTGTCTTTTACTGCATTTTCACAGTATGCAAAACAGTGCTGAAGACATTCAATACTATATAATATTCGGTAACAATATGCATTTTACATTCCCGTTACCCATGTACATACTATATACTAATTATAGTAAATACAATCACTGGGTAATAACTATGTTCTAACCCTGAACCTACCACTAGCCCATGTACTTACCTTATATTAGCCAGTACTTTCTAGGTAAGTAAACTGTAAGTACAGTACTGTAAAAGGAAGCATTAACCTATAGACCATTTCACAAGATGTAAACAACACTGGTCCAGAAGCACTTCCTGTTTTAGTTTTTTAACACTACATAAAATCTGGGATAAAATACAACCAACAGAACATTTAAAACTGAATCAAAAGTTAAACAAACATCTTTAAGATGTTTTCTTTACATGTGAAATAAAGAAAACAGTTACAAACTGAAACAGGAAGTGTTTCTGGACCAGTGTTGTTTACATCTTGTGAAATGGTCTATATTCAGTACAATTCTATACTTGCAGTGCTTACAGTACACAATTTATTCACCTTGTCATTATTATACTTTTTAACGTAATTGCAAAAACAAAATTACTTAGTTGCGATACATTTCTTTTTGGTAACTGCGTGTTTTGGATTCTGTTCTTAATTTTTTTTTTTAATCTATTGTCTAACAAATGATCTGTAGTGATCATAATAATGATTATTCCTCCTCATCATTATGGTTTTCCTCCTCATAATCTGCTTCTTCCATGTCACTAAACAGGTTTCAATTGGCTTTATGCACAGCTGCACTACTTCCTGAATTTCAGTCAGCTCCTTGTTTCCTGTCTGCCATTATTGGCCAAATTGATTAATTCAGGTGTGCTTGACCTCAGTAGTCACGGCAACAATAATCAGACACACCTGAATTAATCAATTTGGCCAGTAATGGCAGACAGGAAATAAGGAGCTGGCTGAAGTTCAGGAAGTAGTGCAGCTGGGCATAAAGCCAATTGTTATACAGCACCCTACAGTTCAACTAATGAAAGTTACTATACCTCACAGTACAGTACTTTAATTAATGCAATTACATTCCACCACTGACTGGTTTAAGAGGCATGCATGTACACATTTCTATGTATGTGAAAGAAGAGGTTACACTTTGGTTTTATTTATATGGTGATAAATAGCAGATTTTATTACATGCTTTATATTCATAGTTAAGGCTATTGTCCAAGTATGAAAGGTGTTACAGTCTTGTAGATTACAGTCCATCATCAGAAATGTCATCATCACTGTCGTACTCATCAGATGATGCATTGTCCAAAAAGCTGATGTTCTCTGCTCCAGACAAAACTTGGAGGTAACAGTCTCTTGCTTGCACCTTCATTTCTCTGATTTGATGCCGCTTTCGGGATGATGCTGTGCAGACCTTTCAAACCCTCTCCACTTAGATCACATTGCGAATCTTAAAAGAGGAACACAAGAATATAATACCAGCCTTAGAAACGTTATAAACAGTCATCATTGTTGTGTGTATATTTATTAGGGCCCCCTAATAGCAATCTTTTGTCGGTGCAACCCTATGGCTATAGCCTGGTTGAAACCAGACCATTCATTCATAATTGAGTTATGGTCTGGCAAAGCATCATAGACAAATCATTTCCAGAGGGGCGTCACCAACGAACATCGCGGATAGACCTAAAACCAATCAGAGTGATGAAGGAGATGACGTATGCAGAGCGGCGGAGAAATATCTCCGAGTGTTGTTCTTTGCTCGGTTTTTAACACAAAGGAAACGTTCAAAGCGCTTAAAACAGACACGATAGCTGATTCGAACGAGTGATTTGACGCGGCACCCAACTTTATAATGTAGGCTACAAAATCTGCTTCAAAATCCTAGCGCTGTTGTCATCGTGTAAAGCCCGCCCCAACGTTTCTGATTGGTGCCGCGATTTCGACGGATTGGAAATGAGCTTGAATGAGCTCTTTGCCAGACTAACTTTCAGAGCAAATCTAAATTTGCCGGAAGTTGTATGGGTTTTCCCAGGCTACTATGGTTATGTAATTTATTACAAATACATAATATAGAGTGTCTCACTTGAAAATAAGCAGGACAGCTCTCTGAGGGTATCAGAACGAGCTGAGAGAGATTTCCAATGGTGGTCCATCTCTGCAACAAGAATCTTCTGCTCCTCCTCAAGCCTCCTTACTGACATGATGATGTCAAAAGCTCTTCTCTTTGTCCTTAGATCGACAGAGTCTGGAATGCATTTATGATAAATAAACAAATCATTAGTTTTAAACATCAACCTTCAAAGACCCTCTAAAATAGTATGGGGTTGCAGAATAACATTTGAAGTCATTATGTATCAGATTTGTCAGTAGCAGTCAACAGTCTAGTGTACATACCACTGTGTGGGAGCTGCCATGGCCAAGCTGTCTCACCAGACAAAATGGTGTCTAGGCAAAGAGTTTCTGTGATTGGAACCATTCTGTTGTATTTCTCCACAACAGATGTCAGGATTCCCTTCTCCTCCCTGATCTTGCGGCGGATTCTGGCTCGACCTTTGTTGCCATCGTTATCTTTATAGAGACGCTGGGAACGTCTCTTGATACTGGCTACCAGCACCTCAATTCTGCTGGCCAGGGCATCAGCATCATTCGTAGTTGTTGTTGCTGTTGTTGCTGCTGAGAAGAAATAGGTGTGGTTTGCACTTTACAATACCAGTAACAATTACAATTATTTGTGACTAAATGTATTACAAGTAATCATTTCCTTACCGTCAGCCCAATCCTTTACATCATTCACCCAGTCTTCCAATTGGCTCGCTGTCACTGTCAATTGGGCTTTCATGGTCTTTAGGTTTTGTAACTGGCTTTGCAGAGATTTTGTGGTCTACAATAACAAACAGTAGTTAGAAACAAGAACCAAATGTTCGATGCACAGCTTCATACACTGCTAACATGCAATACTGAACATCTAAAATTAATTCTACTGATGTCATGACCTTTTGATATCGGCGGGTCAGTGAGATTGCCAAATTGTTAACCTTTTGCTGATTCCAGCGCATGGCCATGAGAGTGAGCATGTCTGTGCGTCCTGCAAAGACAGAAAATAAGATGTTACCATATTCCTCCAAATTAGTATATAAGGATGTACCTAGTGCAGTATGTCACCTTACCTGCCTTTGACATATGTTTTGTGGTCACTGCAATCCTAGAGAGGAAGGCATTGCACTGTTCCACCTCCTCCCCCAGTGTTAGACCAGCCCCATCCTGATATGCCCCACTCCATTTCACCTGGTTAAGAATAATAATAATAAAAAAACAATTAAAAAAAAAACAAAAAAAAAAACATGTTTCTAGATTTAGATAATACAATTATATCATATAGCAACATTTCCTTACCTCACATTTAAAATCATGGGCTTTGGCATGAAATACCGAAAGGAAAGGCTTCATGTTCAGAAGGTGCTGGAGCTCTGGACAGCTTTTCGCAACTCTTTGGAGGTAGGGCCAATATTTGCAGGTCACATCCATGCAAAAAAAAAGTGATTTGCCTACTGGCCAGCTTTTCTTGCAGGTACAGGGGATAGGCAAAAATTTCCCCCCTATTCATATTTAAGGCAGAGAGCAGGACACCGTGCCGACACACCGCAAGCTCCAATCCCTCCTCGTCTACCTTGCTGGAAGATCTTTGTGAGGTCTCTCTGGCTGCTGACCACTCACCTCCACAAACACCTCTTCCACTGACCTACAATAAGAAAAATGGTGGATGAAAATAAGACTCTCATAAACAAACTCTTCGGAAAGAGGTTTTACAAAATTTTACATGTTTGGTTGTGTTGTGAATGTGGTCCACAAATCTTTTCACGTCTTCATCCTTGGCAATGAAGACGTCTTCAAAGATGGCCTGTTCCTCAGATCTAAAAAAATAAAAAACAACAATTGGTGATGGATAACAATTTATGATAACTTATAATCTGAGATTTCTTGGTTCACACATTAAAGAGTTATGTTTTCCTATTAATACAAACAATGTGATACACAGTTTGGAGTACCTAGCAGCATTCTTGAAACGATAATGCTTGCGGTTTCCATCAACTGAAACTGCAAGCATTTCAGGGGTGCACGCAGGACAGTTAAAGGGTTCTTCCTTGCACATATTGTCCAACTCAAATCGCACAGCCTCCCACTCAAAACAACTTTTCAGAAAACTGTCTGCTGAGATCTTGCCAGTCTATTAAAAACAAGAAAACCAACAGCTAATAATGTACAACAAATAAATTAGCATCAAACAGTTTATCAAACCACAACTCAACAAATATCAAAATTAAGTAGTCACACGACCAAAGCGGACAGTTCGCTGATTCAGCATTCTTAAAAATGCTTGGCAGGACAGTCCTGGTGCCGCCATCTTCATTTCTTCAAATGAAAAAAAGACATCTGTGGCATAAACTGTGGCAAATTGAAGGGTTGCAGGCCAGTAGTCACTTCTGTTTAGGTCAGCGACTCCAGAAGTCCAAGTGGCTTGGCATGCCTCACAAATTAACTCGGGCATGCTTAGATCATGTCGTCCTGGAAATATCAAAAACACATCCACTGTAATGTAAACCAGGATTTGTGTTCTTTGTACAATTTATACATTACTTTAAAAGTTTTATATCAATGTCAAACTTGCAGGTAGTCACGTATGGATATATATTTATTTTTTAAGATGCTTCTTAAACAGGACAAAATAAAGTTCTTCACATTCTTACCATTCATTGTGACCACAGCAACAGTCTTTCCTGGACTAACCCTCAATGACTCTGGTGAGCAACCACAGATTTTGTCAGGCATCTCCACAGGTACAAGCCGGACTGAAAAAGAACATATGGTACAATTGAATTATGATCAATTTGTATTGACTGAGATTGTAATAGATCAATGGCAATGAAGATAAATCCAAGATAAAACAATAATGGAAAAAAGGCATAATTTAAATAATAAAGCTTATGAGCTTAACTATTCTGAAAATTATACATATGTTGAACACAAACCAGAACTTGCCACAATGGGAAAGAGCCTTATCCACCACGTAAGATGTTGAAGGCAATGGTTGGAAGAATCCAGCAGTCATGGCATCTCTGTTGTGAAGAACATGTCTGGTGTGCATGCTGACGTCACATTCAGCACAGAAGAAGGGACGTGGTCTACAATCACAACACCGGACAGCCGCTGGATTACTCCCACACTGTTGGCAGATGTGTGTTGCCACATGTTCCCTTTCCGCAGCCGTGTTTACCAGGCGGGGTCTCTCTGCCCTCCACCTCTCTGAAAAGAGACTTTGTCTTTTGCTCCAGTTTAAGGAAGCCAGAAGAGGATCTCTTGGGGTTTCAAGAGGTGATGCTTCATCACCAGAGAATTCACTTAGTGAGTGTTGGAGATCTTGTAGAAAACACTCTGTAAATGATATGGAATATTGAAAAATTCATTCCATGTATGTGTATATATATATATATATATATATTTTTTTTTTACAATATTAAAGTGTACTCAATTTGGCTGTGAAAGGATCAGTATTCTACCAAAGTTTAAAGTAGAAACATTTATTTACATTCTAACCCACTGTCATAAATGTTATAAATATCATATATATATATATATATATATATATATATATATATATATATACAAGGGCTAATGGTGACACTATGAAGTACACACCAACAGTCTCTGGAGTAAAGGCCACCTCACAGTTAGGGTCAGGAGCAATGAAGGGAGGATCAGTCTTCCGAATGTGATCAGCTGTAGAGGATAAAAACAACACAAATCAACATTTATAACTTGTCCCAATGCCTGGTTGCCCGCCTAAAATGGTGCAAGCTCACTGTTTAACATAGAGCTAGAGAGAAATATTAGTACACTTATTTTCCAAACCCTAATGGGGAAAGTCCAATTACTATTGGTTATCTGCATATAAGGTGTCATATAGATGATGACAGCAAATATGAATCCTTATATAGAAGCAGATTAAAAAGAAACACGTTGGTTGGCAATTGACAACACACTCTGAAGAATAAAGTGTTTCAAACACAGCCTTGCCAAGACCAATAACTTGAAAGAGATTAAGTATGATAGTAACCAGGCTATCTCATTTGACGTTATATTAACCATTTTGACAACAATGCCTGACAATGTCAATACAGCCCACAATTAAACTATTTTTTATGCTTTGCAGAAATATCTAATATTAACCTGAATGTGTCTTTCACTTAATCCAAGACTAATGATGTCTTTCATTAATCTACTTTTTATGCAAAAAATCAAATGACTGATTCTGGGTTGACTGTTTCCCTGCCATATTACGCTATACATGTATTGTAACATATACACTCATAAGTGGTTAAACAATCTACAATATATCTCGCATGAACGATATTTCCAGTATTGTCTCTTTTTCTCCAAACCACCCTCGGTTCAGGTGTCTTTACTGGTGCTGCTGCCTCCTCTTCCTGCAGCTCATCAAGAAGGTCATCAAGACTTTGGAGCTCATCTTTCAGTTCTTGGTCATCAACCAAGTTATCTAAGATCATGAGATGATCTTGGATTTCTGAATCACTCTTGGACATTGTGATGGGCAGAAACACAAACAAACAGAAAGACTCACAACGAAGAGATGACAGACAAACAAATAAATGTAGAGAGAGAGAGAGAGAGAGAGAGAGAGAGAGAGAGAGAGACTGATAAGTGCAGATTAACAAGACAGACGTGGCTCTTAAAAGTGCCTTTGTTTGTGTGTGTGTGTGTGTGTTGTGGGGGGGGGGGGGGGGGGATAATAAAACTCGTTTTAGAAGCTGCCAATTTTGAGGGTCCTAAAGAAAAAACAGAATTGAACATTTTACACCAGTATTCTCTTCATCTGTGTTGCCAGAATGAGCTATATTTTATGTGATATTCATTGTATACAGTTCAATAAACTAGAATTTAATATTGTTAATGACATTTTAGAAAATAATTAGACAAGAAATGTTGTCTAAAATTATATATAATTCATATACGAATCAGTCAATAAGTTATGATATAATTACTTATTACATTAATTATACATTAACTATACGATTTGTTTGGGTGTTAATTATATAATTTTGCGTGGATTTTAAACAAATAGGCTGTAAAACAAACCAATCTGGCAACACCGTTCTTCAAATGAACATTTATAATGTTGAATAACAGTTGTGTGCTAATGTAATACTGAAAACCTTAAAATCTCCACTAGTATTGCCTTACATGATTATTTCATAGGATTATATGCAACAAAATTTGACAAAAACTTTAATTCAATTACGTAAATAAACTATATATAAGGGTCCATTTTTGACCTACTTAAAATATTTCTGTCCAAAGAGTCTTTGAACTTGAACTTTCCAAAAACACTCATTGACTCAATCTGATGTTTCATCTGACAGACAGTGGTCCATGCCCAGAAATAAGTTAAGGTTAAGTATGGAGTCTCCTGCTTAAGAAACATTGAGGTTTATTGCTCATGAAACAGCAGCAGAATGACTCAATAAGTAGTTCTCAGAAGGACTCAAAACAGCTGAAGGACTATAATGAGTATTTATGGAAAGTTCAAGTTCAAAGACTCTTTGGCCAGAGACATGTGAAGTAGGTCAAATATGGAACACTGTCTGGCTGATGAAACAGCAGAAGGACTCAATAAGTAGATATGGAAAGTTCAGGTTCCAAGACTCTTTGGATATAAATATTTTAAGTAGGTCAAACATGGACCACTGTCTGCCTGAAAAAAAACATCAAAGGAGTTAATGAATATTTATTGAAAGTTCAAGGTCAAAGACTCTTTGGACAGAAATTTGTTAAGAAGGTTAAATATGGAGCACTGTCTGGCTGAAAAAAAAAAACATCAAAGGAGTTAATGGGTATTTATGGAACGTTCAAGTTCAAAGACTCTTTGGAAAAAATATGTTAAGTAGGTCAAATATGGTCAGGAGTAAATGAGTATAAGTATAAGAGAATAAGGACTAAAATTCATGAAACAGCAAGATGTCTATGAGTTTGCATAGTAAGTTAGCCTTTAAAAAGAATTTGGCAAAAATGTCAAGAAGATCAAATATTGACAACTCTCTGGCTGAAAAAAAAAAAACATCAAAGGAGTTAATGAGTGTTTTTGGAAAGTTCAAGTTCAAAGACTCTTTGGAGAGAAATATTTTAAGTAGGTCAAACATGGACCACTGTCTGGCTGAAAAAAAATCAAAGGGGTTAATGAGTATTTATGGAAAGTTCAAGGTCAAAGACTCTGGACAGAAATTTGTTGAGTTAGGTCAAATATGGACCAGTCTGGCTGTAAAAAACATCAAAGGAGTTAATGAGTTAGGTATGGAAAGTTCAAATTCAAAGACTTTTGCCAGAAATGTGTAAAAGTAGGTCAATCGTGGACCACTGTCTGGCTGAAAAAAAACATCAAAGGAGTTAATAGGTATTTATGGAAAGTTCTTCAAGTTCTTTGGAGAGAAATATGTTAAGTAGGTCAAATATGGACCACTGTCTGGCTAATGAAACAGTAGCAGTACTCAATAAGTAGTTATGGAAAGTTCAAGTTCAAAGACTCTTTGGACAGAAAAATGTTTAGTAGGTCAAAGTAAGTCTGACCTACTTTCTGGCGGATGAAACATCAGAAGGAGTCAATGAATATGTATAGAAAGTTCAATGACTGTTTTGCCAAAAATATGTCAAGCAGGTCAAATTTTGACCACTCTCTGGCTGAAAAAAAACATCAAAGGAGTCAATGAGGATTTATGGAAAGTTCAGGTTCAAAGACTCTTTGGACCGAAGGCTTATGAAAATTTGCCCTTTAAAAGACTTTGGCCAGAATGAGATGTTACAGTTTTTTCGATTGCTAAACGACAATGAGCACAACTGGAGCTAAATGTGCAAAACTCTAACCACAGTCTGCATTACCAACAGTCACCTGAGCACAACTCTTACGTAACACACGGCTCAAAACAGGCTCAGTGTGCACAACACTATGCACAACCCTCACTGAGATAACACACACTGAGAGGAAAAACAGTAGCATCAAACACCAATGCAGAAAATCCAAACTTTTCATCTTTACAGTTTCAACAATTTCACACTTCATACAAAGTAATATTTTCTTCAAAGAAAACAGTGACATTCTTTCATTTGATATATTTACATTTTTAGAACATAACAATTGAAAATTAGCAGTTTGCTTCAATAGTCTGTAGTAATTTACAGAATTACAGTAATGAGAAAAAAAGGTAGAAACTAAAAGTACATACTGTGATACTGTAACCCTCCCTCCCCAGACAGCAAACTGACATTGAATCAACGTGGAAACGACGTCTCTCATGACATCGAAACAACGTTGATTTTGCTCATTGAATTACAGTAACGTTGAACCAACGTCAGACGCGGCATTCTTCAAAGCTAAATGAAAATCGAAAATTGGTTTGCTTTCGTAACGTTGAAACAATGTTGATTTCAAGTTGATTTTCCGTTAGTTTTGAAAGAATGACACGTCTGACGTTGGTTCAACGTTACTGTAATTCAATGAGCAAAACAATGTCAGATCAACGTTGTTTCGATGTCATGTTTCCACGTTGATTCAATGTCAGTTTGCTATCTGGGTCTCTCAAGCATTAGGCCACAAGTTTTCAGCCTTTCAGCTGAAATAGTTTGAACATCAGCAGTGTGTGAAATGCACAAGGCTGAAATTTATTCTGTTTTGAATGAGTGGTTTACAGTTTTGACAGCAGTGTGTTAGCATTTGAACAAAGTGCTGTAAATCCACAGTGTTGTGCAGGTTGTGGTTAAAGTCATGGGATAAGTCA